CTTGTGTAAGTGCTTTTCGAATGAAATTGCCGTCCTTTGCGCTTTTCCGCCTTTCTATTTTTTTTTTTTGTATTTTTGGCACTTTCCTTTCGCTACAAATGCAGCCCGGTTTCACTGGTTCACTGCTGCACTCGGCTGAAAATGGTGTCTTGCAAATGGCTCGTGAAATCAGCCAGATGCCGTACTTTTAAAATAAAAAGCCTTGCTTTTCTCACGCCGAGGTTTCCATGGTCTCCGCTCTAAATTGCAGTTTATTTGCGGTTTGTTGATTTTAGTGCAGAACTTTGTTTACAATTCTGCTTAAATTTCATTACACGATCCGAAAAACCGAGAGAGAGAGGAACTGGGCCAAGGGGAAAGAGATTTGCGGGCGTGTGGCCGAGTTGGATTGAGAATGAATGCCAAAACCTTGATATGAATTAATATTTGAGCAGGGCTGCCAAGTGGAGCGGACATCTAAAGGGATTCGACCGAGGCAAATGGACATTGGTTTGCATGGAATGGACATCGGTTAAATGGGTCAACTCGGGGCGATTGCGATTGATTGGCGCGCGCATTGGTTTCGGCAAACATTAAATGCGGAAAATGCATTAAAGGAACTTTTCCCAGTTTAAAGAGATAACTAACCGCCTCGTCGTTAGTTTGACATCTTGCTCATCCTGCGGAATCACTTGCAAATATCCAGACAATCATTCAGCCGAGGCAAAGGTTAAGACAACCGAAAGGCGGCAAACAATAAAGTGGGGGAAAGCCCAAAACGCCAGCGAAAACACGAAGCATGAAAAATCAAAACAAATAAGCCAACAGGCAGGCAAACAAAGTGCCAAGCAAATTAAATAAAATCCGCACAAACAAAGCAATGTTGGCCGGGCCAAAAAGGGGAAGGGGAGCCAGGGATACAAGGATACGGGGATGCAGGGACCCAAGGATACACATGCACAGAGATACAAGGATACTGGATACTGGAGCAGGCCACTTAGATGGCGGTTGACACAGCCGCAAGAAGCGGGCGAGTGTGTGTGTCTGTTTTTGTTTGTGATAAAAATGAAGCAATTGAAAGAGCCCGAGCCCGCGACAAATGCCAACAACAATGCCTGAAAGCCACCGCCGACAGAGAACTGAGCCGGAATGAGTCGGGGATAGAGAGAGAAAATTAATTAGCTCCAACTCTCTAGTTAGCATTTTCCATTCAATTATGGTGTGGAAACTAATCGGAAATAATCAGGTTCATTTAGCTCTTGGTACTTTCTGTCTTACAGCAATTGGCTTAAGTATTTGTGGAGGTAAATAAAACCATTTTTTACAAACATATAAAATTTTAAAGACCCCTTTATTAAATTTAATCTTTATACCCTTGCAGAGGGTATTATGATTTCAGTCAGAAGTTTGCAACGCAGTGAAGGAGACGTTTCCGACCCCATAAAGTATATATATTCTTGATCAGCATCACAAGACGAGTCGATCTAGCCATGTCCGTCTGTCCGTCTGTCCGTCTGTCCGTCTGTCCGTCCGTCTGTCCGTCTGTCCGTCTGTCCGTCTGTCTGTTTCTACGCAAACTAGTCTCTCAGTTTTTGAGCTATCAGGATGAAACTTTCCCAAAAGTCTTCTTTCTATTGCAGGTAGTATATATGTCGGAGCCGACCGGATCGGACAACTATATCTTATAGCTCCCATAGGAACAATCGGAAAAAAAAAACTTTAAAAAATTCTAGCTTCGGTGTTTTTTGAAATATTACCTTCTACTTTTGGGGATGTTATTTTTTAAATATATCTGAATTTCGAATTAATTATTTAAAAAATCGGACTACTATATCATATAGCTGCCATAGGAACGATCGGAAAATTAATGGAAAAGTAATAGGAAATAAATTCTAGCTTCTTTGGATTTTATTGTATTATCTTCTACTCTAGGATATGACACTTTTTAAATATTTCCGAATTTCAATTTTAATTTAATCAAAATCGGACGACTATATCATATAGCTGCCATAGGAACGATCGGAAAATTAATGAGAAATATTAGAAAATTGAACATTTTTGCGATTTGTTAATTAATAGGAATGATCTGCAAGGGTATATAAGCTTCGGCTGGCCGAAGCTAGCTTCCTTTCTTGTTTTTAAATCATTTTTTTTTATAATTCTTTAAATTATTTTACAAATAACATCGGTATATTACAAATATTTCCCTTTCCTTTAAAAACAAGCCGTAGAAAAATGAGCAGCTTTTTTAAAAGTGACCGCCTGAAAGTATGCAACACAATTGGTAGAAAAAATTACGTATACGTATGGAGTGCCATGGTCCGCTTGGCTGGAAAATCAAAAATGTTAATTCATCAGGCAAAAACAGTGCGAAATGCGCTGCTGCTGCTTGATGCAGGATCCTCCTGCTCAGTTTTTGGGTGCGGCAGGGGGTGGAAGGGGGGCTTGTAGAGCGGATGCGCATCCTGCGGCCACAGCCCATCTGCACCAAGCTGCGTTCCCGGCGCAAATACTGGCATTATCAGCAGCCTTCATTCATGGATACCAACCGATGGCAGAGGAGCGAGAAAATGCGAGCTGGGGAAGCCGAGCAGGTCCTGTGTGCCGCCTCCTGTGCCCTTCGTTCACTTTGTTGTCGGGTGCGCGACCCGAAAGGTTTGAGAGCCACTGGAAGGACAAACAGGGATAACTGCAATGGAAGGATTCGAAGAGCTTAAAGCTTGGAGAGATCAAGGTCCTTAAGAGAGAGCTGCCCACAAGTGTCTTGGCCCGAAGAGAGAGAGCACAAACATCGCTTTGCAGCATCCTTCTCTCACGCTTTCCCCATTTCTCTCTCATTTTCTCGCTCTGCGGCGCCCTGTAGTTTTGCGTTTGTAAAAGCCATTTTTCATTCATACGAACTTACTTTAAATTAATTTTTTTGTGGGGTCATAAATCATTTTTGGCTCTGGACCTACGCATGCTGCGTCTGTATGGGTGCACGTCAGCGTGTTCCCCTGTCCGTGTAATCTCGCATTTGTATAGGTGTAAGCTCTTGTATCATGTATTTGGCATTGCGTGTATGAATGAATGTGTATGAATGTTCCATGTATTCGCAAGACTTTCAAATTAGTTTCGATTGAATTGATGAAGGTGAGAATAGGCAGCAGTAGGTCAAGTTAGGCAGAGTGGTTGAAGGTTAAACTTTATTTTAACCTTTAATTGCAAATACTTCAGAAATTCAAAAAATACATAAATAAATTATTTGAATTTAATAAAAATAAAATAAAAAAAAATTAAAATAGCATCTAAATAAAATTGTAAATTTTTTGAAATTATTCTATATTGATTTTGCATAATTATGCATAACTTTTCAAGTCTCGAAACTGTTTAATTAATTGTTACAAATTAAATAAATGTTTTGTAATTTTTGTAAGTTCCGAAACATCTTGAGTTGACCACGCACAACCACCAACGCAATGGGCATCGACAGGAGTGCCCCGCACCCTGTATACACATGCAGGGACATCCTGCCACAGGCTCAGAGAGTGCGCATCCTGGCGCTCTCTTACAGCCTCCGCCGAAAGCTCTCCAGGAAGAGCTTGAAAGCTGCCGTCAGAGCCACACTTTCCAGGCTCCGTGGAGTCACGAGTCCTGACGGCTGGCAAGGACTCGTCGCCTAGTTACACATGTATGGGTGTTCCAGCCTTCACATCGGCAGCGCATCCCCAAGGCAGCGCTCGGATTTCGAATTTCTGCACAAGGATGTGTCGTGGGATGCCGAAGCTCGGGCCCGTCGTGCTCGCATCGTTCTCCCATCGTCGTACTCGTCGGCTCCTCCAAAGGACTCTGCTGCTGCTGCTGCTTCTGCCTCTGCTTCTGCAGCCAGCCAAAGGACTTCCACCGCCGCCTGGCTGGCAATGCTGCACGGGCATCGGGCTCAGTTGGTGTTCCGGTTTCGGGTTGTGCTGTCAGTTGCCTTTTGCCTCCATGCACAGCGGCTGAGCGATTGAGCGATTGAACGATTGAACGGTTGGACGGTTGAGCGGTTGAGCGGTGGAGCGGTTGAGAGAGAGTCCTGTCGCGTTGCCCGTGGTCTGTGTCCGCATCCGTGTCCGTATCTCCGTGCGTCTCTCTCCGGGTGTGTGCGTGTCCCTGTGCGTGAGTGTGCGTGTGCCTATGTGTGTGTGCCTGGCCTGCCCAGCGGGAACATTCCTCTGGAAAATAACATATTTTCAAGAGGTTTCTCCATACAAGCGGAAGGGACAAAACCTCATTCACCCCTTACATTTCTTCCGTCTCTGGTTTCAAAATACACGGGGGTGACACAAAAAGTAAGGGGGAAATGAGGTTTCTATGTGGTTTTCCTAGGGAATTTACATTTTCCCTACACCGTCGCCTGCTGAAAGAAACAGGATTTCCAACACTTTCTGCTAAAAGGAACAGGATTTTCAGCACACAAAGAACCACCTTCTCACTTTCCCGGTGGGTGTTGTCTGTCGCTAACGGTGCGCGCGCGTCTGTCTGTGTGAGTGTGTGACTCTGTGCGTGCCCCTGTGTGCACAACAATACTATATATCTCTATATACTAATACAAGTGTGGCCCACACTCACACACGGCCTGCAAATAAAATATTAGAAAAATATATACACAACAATTCGAGCAGGTAAACCCAAACCCATTGAACTATTCAGGAATCTATAAAGTATGCAATTGATATAAAATAAAAAACTTAAAAAAAGCATAATCGTGTAAAGTATCCTTTTTGCTCTCTTTGTCCGTCTCTTTCTGGCCCAGAGCTCCCGTGTGCGTGTGAGTGTGTGTGTGCTGGTGTGTGCTTGTGAAAATTCCATCATCATCGGCATCGGTTTAACCATTATCATTCACTTTATGGCTGTACACATATTTTCGTACATCCTTCCTGCCTCTATTTGATTTTTATGCCACCGACTTTGTCGTTTCTATTACTTTCCAATTTAAAATTGTGCCAAGGAAGCCTGAATGCGAATCGCTAATTGACCATCAGGCCCATCAATATTCAAAATGGAAAGTATCTTTCAAATACATGTCAAGTGCAACTCTCTTGCTCTCTTTCGTTTATGCTCGCTCTCTGTCTCCATTTTGCATATGTGTGTGTGCGCCTGTATAACAGGTGCCAAAAAATAAATGGCAATGGTTACTTTTATGCTCACATTGTGTGGGCGGCTGGCTGAAAGGGAGGGAAAAGGATGTACGAATGAATAAAACCGAATGATATGATATTCTGGGCCATTATCAACAAGTGAGAAGCTCGTGATTATTGCTTATTGAATAATATATGGCCAATATCATTAACTAAATTAAATGTTACTCTTCTCCACTTTATAGCCGTCAACACGCATAACACATGCCATGGATGTCAGAACTAAAACCGGATATCTGAACAAACCAATATAGAACAACACACACATACATTAAACTAAGCAATATTTAATTTGGTTGAGTGAAATTCACACGAAAAACGCAAAAATTTAATTTTAAAGTTCAACGAGTTGCAAAAATAAAACTAAAACGCGAACTGCATAAATCACAATTACGAGCGAAACGCGTTAAACCATGACTAAAGCAATTTTGTAACTATAACCAAGGCGAAACGGAGGGAAAATAATAGTTATTAAATAATGATGGTGGAAAACACGAAAGTAATCCTCTTAAGAAAATTATAAATATTATTACTGTCATTAAGCATAATGAATACATACCCAAATTCAAAACAATTTTAATATCCATACAGACACAAAACCAGGACATCAATTCATTTGAATACAAAGTGTTCTATTATATAGAAAACTCATTTCGCAAATGATGTTTAGATTTTCGATAAGCAACTGAAACGCGCACAAGATTGATACAAATTTTTAATAATAATTCGTTAGACCATAAGGAAGGACAGCCCAAAAACAGCTGACGAATCTAAGCGGGATTAAATCGGGAATTCGTGGAAAAACCTCGATTAACTGAAATTGGATTATTCGATTTAACTCGATATAAACATACGCATATTTCAATAATCGCATCTAACCAAGTAATAATCATTATTGAACTAAAATTAATTGCATTAACTTCATTACTAATCAACCAAAAATTCTGGGAGACAAATTTTAAAAACCGAAGTTTTGAAGGAATAATAATAATAATACGCAATCTAAACGTAAATCAAGTGTAACACACAAATCAGTAAACGGAATAGTTATACAAACAATTGTTCAACACGATCAGCTCAAACCTTGAATGCCAATTGGAAAGTATTTTGATTGCATAACAGATGAAGAAGGAAAATAAAAGGTAAGTCATTTATAAAAAAAATTATTAATTAAAAAAAACTGTATAATTAGGTAATTTAAAATTGAGGAATTTATTTATTCCAATGAGGCATATTTTTCTTAGTGACTAAAGTTTAAGTTTTTCTTTTTCGTTTCGATGAACCATATTTTGAATCCACGCCCTTAAATTTCGCCATAATCACAGAGAGCCTTCGTATGCCCAACGCCATAACCGCGGGCATTATTTCTGTTTTCTCTGAACGCAGTTGGACTTGATTTGCTTTTTTGTTTCACTTCTCGGCCAGGCATTTTAAAATTGTTCCATTGACCTTTCGACGACCACACGGCCACATTCAAATACCCAGCTGGCAAGTAAGTGGGTGGCCGGATGACGGGCTGGTGGTCCTGGGGTGATGAGCGTGGGTGGGTGGTTGGTCCTGTTGGGTGGTCGGTTGGTTGGGTGTTCCGGAGCAATGCCCAAAAGCAAACAGAACAGCAGCCACTCGGAGGACAATAAAAAGCAGCGCACAATTGCCAAATAAATAACTTGACGCTCGCTCCGTCGTCGGTTTATTTGCCCTGGTGCCGTGGTTTTTGGGCTTTGGCTTTGGCTTGATTTTCATTTTCATTTCGGGAAAGCACACACACGCGCCCGCAAATACGCACACACACACACACTCACATTTACTACACTGTTGCATATTAAAAGTGCTCCGGCTTCCTGTTTTGTTTTCATCTCCTGCACTCGCTGCTCATTTTGGCCTGGCTCTTTTTCATTTTTCATTAATAATATGACACAATTCGCGCTGCATTGTCCCGGGCTGGCAGCGCCCATGAGCACTTTCGGCTCTGCCGCCTCCTTACGCTCATTATGCCCATTTGAGGTTTTGTCTTCGCCGCTACAGCGGAGACCCAGACCTACCAGACCCATTCCCAGAAGCAGAACCAGAATCAGAACCAGAACCAAGCTCAGGCAGCATCTTTAGCCATTTCTTTCATCATTCATTCATGCAGACTCCAGCACAGCCACACAACAAATCCGAATGCAAACAGCAGGGCAGTGAGATGAAAAACTGCAGCTGTGATGTGGCATCTACCCTGGAAATACCTATAAATGAGAACTTGCTTGCAGACAAAGGCAGAGATAATTTACAAGGAGCTAGAAAACACAAGGAGTTTCCATTTGTATTTGATTGTCTAAATTTATTTAATTATACTTTTTGCACTTTGAATTCTATGGAAGAATTTTCTCTGTGTAACAATATAATTTTATCCATAAGGGTATTATCACGTGAAAGCTGATATTTATTGTAAGAAAATTTAGAGAAAGTATAAATATATTTTTATTTTTCATTGGAAAAATATGTTTTTATATAAAAGTGTTTTTTTTTTTATTTAATCACACAATAGAAAAGTAAAAAATATGCTACAAAAATTGTACTGAAGAAAATACTGAATTTGTCGCTGTTACCATATCGTTAACTTTTTTACTTATTGTACACCCTCTAATGTTTATTTCAACTCAAAAGCTCAAAGTCTTCAAATTGCGATATGGTGTTTCAAGTTATTATGTTTAAATTGAAATACATTTTTTATTTGGCTCTGTTCCCGTTTTTATTCCCCAATTGTTTGAGAGCGAAAGCCGCAAATCTATTGTCCTTGGACCAGTGCCATTCGGAAAGTGTATCCCCGAAAGTAATTCACTTCGCGCGGCCCCCCAACCCCCATCCCCTCCCCGCAGCCTCTTGCGTTTGCCGACGATGTCCTTAATTATGTGCCAGCAGCCCTGACTGACTGCCACAGTGCCACAGTGACTGCTCAAAGGACACCCGGACCAGCCTGCAGCCTCTTGCCGCCCACTCACCAACACACATACACACACAGCGGCATAGGACATAGGCGTTGTCAGGATCTCGGCGAGGCTGTGGAAGTCGCAGTCGCGACTGTTACGTGGCGCTCGTGTATGATGACGATGTGTCATGTTGGACTCCGGGTCTCGGGCTTCAGAGTCCTTGTTGCGCTTGTTTTTATCGCCCTTGTTTGGCCGTTGTTGATGAGTGTCGTTGTTGTTGCTGGCCGCTTTTGAAGAGCGCTCTTCTAGTGGGTGTCATGTCCGCTTAGTTGTTCTTGCTCCTGCTGTTTGCCGCCGTGCTTTGAGGCGACGCCGCTTTGCCTACTGCTTATTTATGTATGAAGGACCTTAAACTTTGCAGCGGATGAAAATGGCCGCAGCCGAGCGCGATGAGGAGCCCATGAACCAAATTATATACACACACACACACACACACACACACACATTTTATACCCACTATATATAAGTGAGTGTGTGCGGATACAACAAATGGCGTCGCTACTTTTTTAATCACAGCCGGCGACGCAGTTTTCAGTTTTCAGTTGCCAGCTTTCAGTTTCACTTTTCCATTTGCCAAGTTTCTCACGTGTGTCCTCCCCAGCCTTTTCCTCGGTGTCCTTTCATTTTGTTGCTTTTCTTTTTTTTGTTTTTTTGTCATCATAGTGGGGCCAACTGGCAGCTGGCAAGTCCAACGCACAAAAGCTGACAAACAATGCTCACTTTTTTGTTGGACTCCTCCCTCAGCTTTCTGCGCTTGTTCTATTAACCTTCGCTTCGCGAATGAAAAAGAGATTTAAGGTTAACAATTCCCTGCGCTTTTTTCTTAGGCCACTTAATATTAGCCGTATCTAGGCCAGTGCAGAGGTGGCTAAATATAGATATGGATAGTTGGCAGCACGATTCGTAAGATGTTAGGAATGTCTTCACCGAGAGCGAAAAGCATTTGACAGTCGGGCTTAAGTGGTCAGAACCATTTAACTCATGACCTGGATAAACATTTAAGAAATAAATAAAGAAAAGAAAGAAAGTATGAGTTTATTAGAACACTTTCTAAACAGAATTAAATGGATTTATTGTTTAGACATTTTTATTTCACTAGGTAAATGATAAGTCATTCAAAAATTAAAAAAATCTTTAATTTTAACTATTTAAAATTGAAAAACACGACTCGTAATAACAGTTTTTTTTAAGAGATAAAATTGGGTTTAACTTAATATGCAGCTTAACGTCTACACAAAGAAATAAAAAACAATGCTTCTTTAACAACATTTAGTTATTGGCTCAAACCATACCAAAAAAAAGTTTGAAAATATGTTGATATATTAAATAATTTAAAAAATTGTTTTTTTGATATTTACTTATACCATTTGAAATGGTATAATTAAATCATAAATTGTTATTTTAAAAAGAAGTTCATAAATGTATAAATTAGAGATTTTTGTAAATTTACTTTACCTCACAAATATTTTAGTATTATTAAAAATCGCCAATAAAAACAAATTTATATAGTTAGGCCGAATATTTTTTTAATTATATGTAGATCCCATAGTCGACCGACACCTTTATAGGCCAACCTTCCTGGACTGTCATAACTTGTGAAATTTTAGTGCTCATTCGAGGATTTGTCTGCTAATCTATAATTAAAATTATTGTCGTATCATTCGGGAGCTGGAAACTTTCGTGCGACCGAAACTTTTGCCCGCAAAGTTCGGCGGGTCGGGGGATAGAGGGGTGCGGATAGAGACTTAGCCATGAAATGCCCTAACATGCTGCCAGTTAAACTGTCCATGGCAAACGTACCTCCAATCTTCAATCTCCCACCTCCAAGCACCCAGCTTAACCCAAACTCCAAACTGATTCGGAGGCAGCTACGTGCCTGTGCATTTGAGCAGCAGATGTCACACGGGCTGGGGCCAAAGTTTTTGGGGCTGCCAGCAACTTAGATAATTTAACAGTGCCACCGAAGGGAGCAGGCTTGGGTTTGGGTTCGGGATCGGATCGGACGGAACTTGGACTTCCTTGAACGCCATTCGGGGGTTTACCTCTACGTGAGATAATGCAAATTTATGGCTGGCAATTAGCGAGTCGCGAATCGCAGCCGAAGCTTGGCAATAATTCACGGGCACCCACAAACTTTGACTAGTCCCCGGGCCTAATTGCAGTTGCCGACGTGAGAAATCTGGGCCGGAAGTGGAAGAGTGACGAGGTGGATGGGTTTCGTTTCACTCTCTGTGCTATGAAGACAATGGAAAACCGAAATCCAGTTAGCGAAAGCCAGTAAACCATTAATTATCTTAGGCGGCGCCTCGCATATGTGATGTGGGCAACCGGCGGCTGCAAAAAAATACAAATATACGAGTGCGAGTGCGCCGCCAGAAGATACAGATACGGGCCGACTGTCAGCTATCTGTTATCCAGCAGTTACACTTTGCACACCCAGAATAACCAGGATAGCTCATACACTCACTGCCAAAAGAAGCCCGACGTGCTGTATCTGTATCTCTTTCTGGGCGATACACAGACACACACGCACACTGTGGCACTCGAACCAAGGCATCAGTTGCAATCTGACTTCAATTCAATTATTTTAGATTAGAATGTGACTGTGTCACACACACTTTTGTCTCTGTGTCAGCTGTCATTCATCCGTTCGTTCATATGTTCCATAAAGTCGGCCTGCGGGGCGGAGAACGGAGAAGTTGGGGCTTTTGCGGCACAGGATACGTGCCCTATACGCCATACGGCATACGCCGCCTGTTCCTGCATCGACACTCGCTTCCATATACCCACATCCATCTGTATATATGCTCGAATGTCTATGTGGGGTTTCGGGTTCACTGTGATTGTGCTCAACAAAACATTGTCCCAGAGATCCCGACTCGAAACGAGCGTGACAAAAGTAACAAATGTGCGAATCCTACCAGTCGAATGACGTCAGGCTTCCTGGGGGCTAGAACATACATACATATATTCGAGGCCCTCAAACATTTATGATTTTATCCTACCAAATTGATTTGCGTTTTGTAAAAGCGCACTAAGCCTGCCAATGAGTGACCTTTTAAACGCTTGGGGATCATATTTCAATTGAGATAATTGCTTGGCCCAGTTGGGTGAAAAGTGAATTTAAAAGCATGCATACTGACTGCGAAATTTAATGGGAAAACGAATACATTAATTGGGAAATACAACAAAATATATATTTCTTTAATGATTCTTACGAATTCCTTCCACACCTTTATTTTTCCCATAATTATAATCAGAGGATTTGGTTTCTAAATAAGACCCTAAAACTGTTTTCAAATGATCTTACTTAATATTAGCATAAAGAAACTATTTCTGTCAAATAAATTGTATACAAAAATCTTGCCTGCTGGGAAAATGTTTAGATTTTCTTTGCCTCAAAAGAAAATACAACTCACAGCAAGTTGGTCAGGTAAAATTCTGAAAGGGCAGGTACCAAAAAGGACCAGTTGATAAGAATAAAGTGAGAAAAAATGTTCGACGAAACGAAGAATATAAAGAAAATATCTTTAACCCATAGAAGGCAGACGATTTTACATCATAGGCACTGGTTTTTAGCGATAATAGTTTGCTAATAGTTATAGAGGAAGTCGTGAAGTAAAAATACATCAATGTAAACCATTTAGTTCCGCTCTTTGTGAGTCATATCGGTCGAACGATTCTCAATGGAAAACAATTGAATCTTTATAGTATGTTGTTTTCAGCCTTATCACTGTCTTTATGCGGGCAACTTATAAAGCGGGCATTATGATAATAACAGAAAAAAATAAGACAAGAGAGTGGTAAGGGGAGGGAGGTTCAAAGTCAGAAAGATCAGCAGCGATCCACCACGGTTTCATGAATCCGAGGGTGACCTTTGGCAGCGGCTCAGATATGCTGCAACCCTCGGGGATCAGAGCACTAAGAAAAATAAATTCAGGGTATTTGAAAATGTTAATTTAATATATTATTTTAAAATTTTTAAATACTTTTAAATGTAAAGGTTTGAAATTAAAAGTGTTGTCACTGAAGAGATTTTAGAACAAATTTAAAATATTTAAAAAATGAAATATAAAAATGTTTTAAAAACCTCAAGAGGTTAAGAGTAATATCAGCTGAATATTTTCAGAAAAAGTGGAGAAACATCGAAGTTTATCTCTTTCGATGATAGAATATTTTTCTCAGTGCAGAGAGCGATATTATCTAGCTGCGGATGTTATTGTGTCCTATCTGGTGGCCTGTCTGCTCTCTCTCCGCCGATCCTCCCCGCAGTCTGATGCCCGAGTGGCCAGCTTAGTTCTCGTCCGCACTTCTTTTTCTGGGAAATTTCAGTTGTCTACCGACTGCAGTGGCGAGCGGACAAGTAATCTGTGGAAAATGAAGTACAACTGGGCCCTGATTCTGGTGCTGGGTTCCGTGGCACTGACCACCGCCCAGAGGGATAATTTCTGCGAAAGGAACGAGACGATTCGCAGCGAAGTGCCGGTCACCAAGCAGCGGGTCATAGTGAAGCAGCCTTCGAAGTGGAAGTTCTGGAAGAAATCGGAGAGGAAGTCGGAGTCGTACGACTCGACGGAGGAGCAGGTCACCCACCGGCTGGTCAGGGAGTGCTGTCCGGGCTACTTGCAGGTGGAATCGGGATTGTGCGAGCCCGTCTGCACCCGCGGTTGTCCCGCCCACGCCAGCTGTGCCGCTCCCGATCGCTGCGAGTGCATCAATGGCTACGTCTCGGCCAGGAATCACCAGGATGGCAGCCACTACTGTGAGCCCATCTGCCACAACCAATGTCCTGCCGGAGCCCAGTGCGTAGCCCCGAATACCTGCGAATGTCGCGAAGGCTACACCCAACTGAAGCCAACTGGCGACGGTGTGAGTGGCGATTGTGCCCCAGTTTGCCAGGTAGGCAATGGCTGTGCCAATGGCAAGTGCATCGATGTGGAGCGGTGCTTCTGCAATTCGGGGTATCGATGGGACAAGATCGAGGAACGGTGTGTCGAGATGAGTGCGGAGTACAGCTCGGAGGAGGCCGAAACCACCGAGGAGAGCTCCGAGTCCTGGGGCACCAGCTCAACGGCTGCCTTCACGGCCACCGAGTGTCCCGAAGACTATGTTCTTTTCCGTGGCGAATGCCGCGAGAAGCAGTTCAACAGCAACGAGGAGGCGGGCTGCCTGAAGTCCGGCTGCGGTGCCTACCAAACATGCCAGGAGTCCGGCAAATGTCGCTGCTCCGAAGGATATGTGGCCGAGGAAAATAGCGAACCGCTCAGCTGCCGGCGCACTTTGATCGACCAAATACTTGGCCTAAACGAAGCCACCGACGACGAGGACGAGCTGAATCCCTGGACCATCCCCATAATTGGCGTGGCCAGCGGAGCCCTCTTCGTCCTGCTCATTGTGGGTCTGCTGGGCGGAAGGCGGTATCGCCAGGAGCGGACTGCGGCGGCCAACAAGGAGATGGAGTGCCAGTACTCGCAGAAGACCGTGGATGTGGACGAGTGGGTGCCGTGAAGGGGTGCAGTGATCACCCTCGGCGTTGGGCTGTGTTAGATCAACTTTGATTGTTAATTTTAAAATATTTTTCATTCGTAAATAAAGCTAATCAACTTAATAATATTTATGGGCGATTTTTCATCATGGGTAAAAAATGGAAAGTGTTTGGTCAAAGTTTCTCCAAAAAGACTCTTATCTTAGGGTTTACTACATTTTCCTAAATTTTTTTCCACTGTAAGAAAACTATTAAACGTCCCGGCAAAAATGCTTTGGTTCCATTAATCATTCATTATCTTTCTTAAACAAAACCAGCACCTTTTCCTTTTATGAACTCTGCTATCAGCTAAGGACTTTTCTTCACTCCCATGTAGATAAGAGTTTATAATTCGATGTAAATCTCTCATTTTCTAAACAAAGGACAGATAAGAAAGTATTTTCATTGGTGTTATCGTTCTGCCAAGAAAAAAAGATTAATAGCAACAACACTGCGGCTTTTATAGTTTAATACTTAGCCTCTCGCTGATAAATTTAAACCGTTTATTAAACATTTAAATCCATTATGTCTCGCTTACGGATTGTGAGTCCCTCAGCAGTAATATGGACTCATATGCTGATTACTGGCTGATGTAAATAAAATATTCATAAACATTTCAGGCAAGAGTGTTCATGCTCAGCACAACGGCAGTTGACTTGCAACTTGAAAAAGGCTGAAAATACGCAGACGAATTTCAGATATTATGGTTAGACCAACTTTGCATATTGAATACTTAATTAAACTAGCAAATGTGTACTTTCTATTTAGCATTTTGTTACCTGGCAAATTGTTTTTAGTTTTAATTTAGTAAGTTCTTAAATATAACTTAAGCAAGAAATCAGTATTTGAATTATGTATGCTTGCGAACACTTTTGGAAGTTTATTGCAATCACTTTATTACACACTTAAATTTGATGTAATAGCATTTCTAGTATTGCCGCCAATTTAAATTTTGTATGATTAATACCCATTTTTTCGTCCTCATCTTAAATTTAGCTAAGAATTTGTGGAAATTCAGTGCTTAAAGCCTACTTTAAATTTGACAGCGGGCGAGAAAACGGCGCTAACTATTCTTAAGGGGTACCTAAAGGCATTTTGGAAACCTATACATAAAGCGAAGCTTAAAAAGGAATTGCCATATTTTTAATTCTATCCTTTATTAATTATTTCTGCTGATATTTTAAAGTATTAGCTTAGCAGCCAAGGAACCTGCATCCAAAGTCGAACTCTTTTGTGTATCCGTATTTGTATCTTTGCCAGTGCTGAGCGAAGTATATCTGGTGGCGGGACAAGGATCTTTTTGGCCATAATCGCTGCACATTTATATGTGTTTCGCACAAAGGAGTGGGTGGAGGGGGCAGAGCTTTAAGGTAAACAGGGAGAGCAGAGCCGGGAAAGAGCCGAGAAAATCCGCCGCAGAGAAAGTGCGAGCGAAGAGAGTGCGGTGCGTGAGAGAGAGTAAACGTTGAAAGCGTGCAAATTCTAAGAAAAAGGACGAAGGACCTCAAACCAATAACTGCTCCCTCGGCAGCAAATACAACGGGAATACTTAAAGCTTCTTTAATTTTGATGTTGTTTTCTTCTCTCTTTGTCGGTGCGTTGAGTATCTGTATCTGTATTTGTGTTTGTATCTGTAGCTGTGGCTGTAAATGTATCTGTGTGTTTGTTTCAGCCATTCTCTTTGATTGCTTTCACTCGCATCTGAGTGTGTGTTTGGGTATGTGAGTTGGGGTAACCTTTGCTGGTGAATATTTTTGCGTGGGAAGTCGCCCAAGGACATGGCCTGGCTCAACTCAACTTGACTCGACTTGCCTTTGCCTTTGCCGTTCCCTTCCCTTCCTTTCCTTTCGCTGCTGCCCTATCTTCCGCCTGCTCTTCATTTTTTTACACATATTTTTTCCCCGTTTATTTTTCGCACAGTTTGCTCTTTCGCTGCTTAGTTATTTATTTATTATTTGTTGCTGGCAAAAATTGTTTTAGCTTTGCAAATAAAAAGCGCTTGGCAACCGTTGGGCTAAAACCTTGAGAAACTAGCAAACGGAAAGCAAACTTTTTAAATGCATAAACGAATTATATAAATAGTTGCCGCAAAGATTCCGCGCTGATGGCGGAAATTTTGTAGTTTTTAGTCGAGCATTTTCATGGTTCGTTTGTTGTGGAAATTGGGGAAGGGTTCAAAGGGCAAAAGTTGTGACAGCTAAAGTTTAGGTCCTATGAGAAAATTAAGTGCTTATTTTATACAACAGTTGGAAAAACAATTATTATTTTTCATTTAACATTCCATAATATAGAAGCTTTAAAGTATACACAGTTGAATTCCTGGATTAATTAACGAGATATATAATATTATATTAATGAATTTTTTATTTCCATTCGTGTTAGGGGAAAAAAAGATTAATGAAAATACACTCATATTCATATTTAACTATTAAATTATTATTTATTATTTTATTACACTTAATAAATTGCTTGTTGTAATGGAATATAAACTTATTTTCCAAGGCGAATGGAACTTGTCTTTCTGGGCTTTCAATCTAATATTCCTGGGATTGCATTTATTGTTGCAACTTTCTTTATGGGCAGCTTCACTCCACTTGGCTGAAGACATGAAGTAAAATCAACAACCAGAGCTCTTACTCATTTCCCCTTCTAAGCTCCCTAGCCTCCTAGCGGGAGCCCTGCAAATTATTCAGTGTGTACTTGTTGATGCAGCCCTCGAATAACACTTACCACCCCCTGGACCCATCACAACCCATCCCAACCCATTCCAATTCGCCCACAATCCCCTTTCGCTCTGCAGCCTCTGCAAAAATGCATTGTCGGAAAGTAGGTCGCTGCAGTTTAGCTCGGATGCAGTTCGCTGTTGCTGTTGTACGGGAAAACGCAAACAGCAGCCATCAAATATTAACCACTAGTTGATCCTATGCAATTTATGTGTGCGAATGTGAATGCGAATGTATGCCCCTGCCACGCCCACTGGCAGCCCAATTATGGGAGCGAGTGGGAGTGGCAGTGGGAGGTTGGCGAATGGGAAATATGCGAAACTTGGCTGAATTTTAGGACTAGCTACTTTATGGTCCAAAAGCTTCAGTTTTCAGTTTTCAGTTTGGGGACGTGGGGTAAAAGTAGGGATAGGGATGGGGATCTGAAAGGGATCCAAGGGGCGTGGCGCATGCAACTTCAGCTTGCCACTTTTACCGTCACGCCCAGTTTAACGGCAGCAACAGCAGCAGCAACACTGTTGACCTATTTTTCTCGGCGGTACGCAGACTTTGAAATTATTTACAGCACCAAAGAGAGAGACGGCCAGAGAGAGCGAGAAAGAGAAGGGTAGCTGCAGAGTGCATGCGAGTGACGAGTGACGGGGGCTCGGGCTCTGTTTCAATAATCACAAAACGTTGCCCCCTCGGTTGCATTCTGCGATTTGCGCTCCTTAACAATTTTGCAAGCCATGTTTTCAGGCTGCTTATTGTCAAGCCGTGGCAAGGCCACCTTTTCTGCCAGCATCTGTGGACGCTGCAATTAGGGGAACCCAGCAGCAGCAGCAGTTGCACTCGTACTCCTAATGCACCGCCTGAAGTACGTTAATAAGTTTCGCATTTCAAAAACAGCCAACTTCCAAGGGGAAATTCCCATTGAGCATATAACATATTTGAAGAGCGTGTCTGACTTTCACGAACTGAGGCTAAAGATGAAAAAAGTCATATGCACCTGTACATTCGTATTTTTATGATAAAATATTCGTACGCTCTTGGCTGACCTAAAAAATCGTTAAATGTTTGAAAAAGCATTTTTCACCCAGCTCCTCTTACCTACTCCGCAGCTCTCGCTGCGCTGAAAATCCCTCCTTTATTTTTCCAAGCTTTTTATTTTATTTTAGTTTTGCCTTTTAGAAAGCAAAGTGCCCAGGCCGCAAAGCATTTAAGTTAATGCACATGGAATCACTTGCACCTTGTGTGGCCGTGTGCTATATAACCTGCAGGTGCGTACATGTATGGCGTTGAAAGCATATTTTACTAGAATATTTACGAAGAAAGCTAAAACAATCCCCGAAGAATCGACTAAGTTAAATTTATTTCGTGATCTGTAATTTGAAGACTTTTGTAACTACGAAAAAACGAAAAAACATCATTATTTTTAGAAATTTATTGATTTCATTTTGAATGAGATTTACTTTTTTGCCTTTTTCGAACATGGTAAAAGTTTGTGGGAAAAAATGCTCTTATTTGATAGCAACGCGTTTTATATAATCCAGCATCCTGACGAAAGCAGCTTATATTAAGCATTTTTTTTGATTTTGTAATTCTAAGGGTGAAAAGTGAACTGTCAGATATCCATTTGAATTTGTATAAAAGAAGCTGATTTTACTTGGGTTACAAACAAATATACATTTTTAACAAAATAGGTACTAAAAATAAATAAATCACGGATTTTGAAATTGATTTAAAAATACTTTCTTTGATATTGATTTCTAATTAAGCCGTTAGAGGTATTTAAATTGAATTTAGTCCAGAAAGGGGTTCACTAGATCATCATTAGTTGGATCTCTAACAATTTTACATGAAGCTGGGACTGAAATATAGGGTCCTAATGCAACATTTTGTGGTGTGGGCTTGACTTTGGCCAACATCTGCGCTTCAAATAACTCAACTGTGCGTTAAGGCCAAAGCAAAGTTTCCTCCGAGGGGCATGTAAATGTTTGTGCCGAATCGGTGGGTGGGTTTGGTGGCTAGGTGTTCGGGGGAGGGAGGTCAAGGGGTGGTTGGGTCGACTGTCGCTCCCACTTTTCCACTTATCCACTGGCAACGCAGCCCGCCTGCTTATTGGAGCAAAAATTAATTGAAAATGTTGGTCAATTGCCTCGCTGGCAGCTCGGCTCCACTGGAGGTGTGTTGGAAATGGAGACGGAGGTGTAGGTGTACGTGGTACGCAATCTACTTTAACTTGTGCTCTGAATTACCGCCCGTGGTGGTGATGGTGGCGGAGGTGCAGGCCGTGGCCCAGACTGTAATCATCGCTTGGCTGCAACCGCGGTATTAGTAATTATTATTTACTCCCCGGCAAAGCAGATATTGCTGCAGCCAAGCAT